ATATATATAGATATATATATAGATATATATATAGATATATATATAGATATATATAGATATATATAGATATATATAGATATATATAGATATATATAGATATATATAGATATATATATAGATATATATAGATATCTACTTTATTCAGAATTTTCTGGGGGAGGATCCCCAGCCCCCGCCCCGCTCTCTATTTTCATTCCAGCATCGATCAGTTTACAATTTAACCCGTTACTTATTTGGCATGACTGCTGCCGTTAGGATTCTGTTCAGTTTTATGTAAAATGTTTCCTGTAATAATTTGAAGAAGTGGCGATACATTTATTATGTTCATTAAGTGAATAGGTAAAGTTCTAAAGTGATTTTTGATACGGTCAATTTTCTGAAAACTGTAATTTTTGGACATTGAAATTAAAAATGTTAATTAAGACCATAAGGGGGTCCCTGAAACTTTTTCTCCCCGGTAAGTGGTCCATGAACCCAAAATTTTTGACAACCCCTGCTCTAGATTGTACGCAAAAATTGCTTTATAACTAGAATAATAAATAAAAAAATAAATAAAAAAAGAGATGCGTTTGAGTATATTTTTTAACACCTATTGGAAAAAACAACAGAATATATTGTGATAAATTTCAAGTCCATATCATACCATATCATATCACTTTATTTATAAAGCACTTAAAACAGCAACAAGGCCAACCAAAGTGCTGTATATCACCTGCACCTTGTGCATATGTGGTCATGATTTTCAGCACACACAGAATTAAGTGAAACTACAAAAGCCAAAGTGTAAAGAAGAGCCCGACTCTGATGCACAACTACAGGTATGAATAAGAGAATATTTAACACTTTAATTTTACTCACTTGCCCGCCTGGATTCCCTCCCATGTTGAAGACAGTTTGATGAGAACGCGCTCCTTGCTGATGCCTGCCTCTTCGTAGAGAGCAATGAGCTTCAAGGCTTTCGCCAACATTTCATTTTTATCAAAGGACAATCTGCAAAACCACAAGACGTGAGCATTCAAGAGTTTTAAATAACTTCACATTTGAGAGGCATTCTAATTTTTTAATTTTTTTATCGGGTTAGCAAAGCCTTTGAAAGTTTTATGACATTTTTAAACTTGTTTGTTTATGAGCCAGATGTCAAAAACAAATTCTCCATTTCTTTGAATGTTATAGACAATAAAGTTATATTGAACTGAATTAATTTCAACTAACAAAAAGATTTGTCAGGCTTTTATTTGACTTCTAGTCTGTCCAATAACTTAACACCCGCCTCAGTTCTGTGTCCAGTTGGACTCATGAAGAAAACAGTTGTGAAGACATTAGTTTGTTTCATTAAAGCTGAAAATCATTTAACATGTTGGAGCTTTTTTGGTTTTAAACTTTCTAAGATTGGTCGTCTCAGCAGTGAAGCATCAGATCCAGTAATTCGCTGCCAAACGAATGCAAAGAGAAACCGTTTTTATTTTTAATGAATTTTTTGTTTGGGGTATTAAAAATTTTGGACATGCATTTTGGATTTTGTTAGCTTTTATTATAAAAAACAAACAAACAGCTTATTGGTTATAGAGCAGCTGCCTGGTTAAGGATGTTTTGTAAAACAAGAAATCTTCAACGTCAACACACAAACAGTTTGATTTAGGTAAAATATCAATTTAAATAAGTTTTTTTTAACAACGATTTACAGTACGTGTATAAAAAAAACAAAAAAAACATTTTTAAATGCATTTCGTAATGCAGCCTGATCATCAGCAGTTTAGCTCAAGCCCTGTGTAATGAGCAAGACGAGCATTAAAAGCTTCTCCAGTACGGAGTAAAAACTGAGCCGTGAATACGTTTCCAGTCATAATGAGACTGGAAGTTTGAACCTACCTGGCATCCACCTCCGTTGAGACTCTGCCTGGAACCTTCTGGAGGATCTCGAGTCCAAAGCTTACAAAAAGCTTGTCCATTGTGTGGGCTACCTGCTCCTCTTCAGTCCTTTAAAAAGGAAAAGTTTGGTGTTTAACGTCTGAATTCCACTGAAAATAAAGACTATACAGATGATTTTGCCAAATGTGGCTTAAAACTAGCATAAGTCCAAAAGATTTCTTCAAAACATTGGAATTGTCGTTCCCTTTTTAGCAAACAACTTTACACACACTCAGGTTGGCCTTTAGGCGTTTGAAATCAGTAGATATTAAAGAAACACATTATGTTGTTTGTACTGTTTTACTCCTGCGGGCGAATCCTTACCCTCCTTTGGCGATGCCATATTTAATGGCCTGATCCAGAAGACTCTGGTAGGCTGGCATCTTAGCAGCAGCTAGGATCAGAGACGGGTTAGTGGTTGCATCTTGAGGCTTGTACTCGTCAATGGCTGCAACATCAGAGAAAATACATTTGTTACAAAACAGATATTTTACTGACAAAACACTAAGAAAAATAGGATAGGAAGTAAACACAGATGTCACAGTGCTTCTAAAATACTTTTTTTTTTCTCACTTCTGAATGTTCAGTGACAAGGAAAAGGCTCAGTCAAGGTCTCATTTTAAAACAAAGATTAATGTCCTGATCCGTGACATGATCACAAAATGTAAAGGAAAAGAAACTAATACAATAACTTCGCACTAAAACTCACAACAGATGTTTAAACTGACCATCAAATGCAGGTGAAGCTTTACTCTGGTTTAATTAAATACGTTTAACAATGAACCAAAGAAACAGCAAGTTCAGAGCCATTTTATCTGCAATTAACTGATGTGCTCAGGAAGAAAATGGTGCCATCTAGTGTGTACATATGTCTATCCAATAATCCTACATTACCGTGGTCAGAAAAGGCAGCTGGACTTCAGAGCGTCTTTTGTGAATATACAGTTTACACCTTTTAAAACAGATAAAGGTGCAAGTAGGAAATAAAGTAATGGTAATAACTTAATGCACAACTTAATTAAAATTGCTTGAGTTTTTGTTGTTTTGACTCTTTGTGAACAAAGCCTTAGTGATGAACGTGCATCTTTATTATCTTTAAACTGACTGGAATAAAGCAGGTACAATATTAAAGTTAATGACCTACTCAGTGCAGATTTTCAAAGTACATTACAAAAAAGTATTGCAGTTTAAAAACGATATGCTAAGCAGAGCCTTTGTGTCCCTTGATACGTTAGAACTGGTCTGTAAATCTCCAACAGATCAAATCTCATAAAATTGCTTTTAAAATGTGATCTGTTCTCTCCTACTTCTTTCTCCAAACTTTAATTTAGGCTACCTTTAAAAGGAGTTTGATGCCCTTGCTGTTCATGGAGAAAAAACAGTTTGTGTCAGCAAGCAATTAAGAAAAGTTACATATACATAATTTTTTTAACAGGCAACAAAAAAGGTACAATTAAATATCTAAAAGCCGATTTAGCTACGGTATATTCGACTAACCAGTACGGGCAAAAATTCCAGTCGTGTATATTTTTGTGCTTGTAAATAAGAATGTTGAGTTAATTTTGCACCTTGTAAATCAAAAAGTCTGACAATTACATATTTGTGTATCCATAGATAAGAAAGTGTGGGAAAAAAAAAAAAAAGATTTGTATTGTAAAAATTACACAAGTTACAAATTTTTAAGGTCTGCTTACAGATACAAAGCAAAAAAAAAAACCTACATATTAAACTCTGTGCTCAAGTTCCCTAACTTGCCTGTGAGTTTCGGCTTGTAAATATGAATTATGAATGTTTCTTCCTCTCAGCTGATTGGTCAATCACAAATTTAATAATCCAATCAGTGAACAGATGGGTTCTGGTCCTGGAAGGGTAATACATGACAAAATAGAGCAAGCGCTAACGAACGTGATTTTCAAAAATATGTATCATTGATTGCGTTTTTGACCACTAAACCATAAAGAAGTTTCTACATGAGCTGCAAAAATGATGGCGCCATCCTCCATCTTTGAAATGTATTACCTTGGATACCCTTCCAGGACCTGTTCTCTGATTGGATCGTTAACTTTGTGATTGACATGACATTGACCAATCAGCTGAGAGGAAGAAACATTCTGTCATAACTCGCACATAAGTTAGGCAACTTGAGCACAGTTTTACATTTTTTATTCTTTTATTTGTTTTTATCCCTTGCCTTAATAAATAAATTGTAACTTGTCATTACATTCCCCCCCCCCCCCCCCCCCAAAAAAATACAATGCATTTATTTAACATACAAATTATCATCTATGGATGCACAAAGATGTAATTGGCAGACATTCTGGTTTAAAATTAATTCACAACTACACATTTTATTTATAAGCACAAAATATGACTGGAATTTGTAACCATAAACCAGAAAAAGTTTTGTAAGCTTCCAACAATTATCAAGCAATGCAGACTTTTCATTAGCAAGTCTTCTCCAAAAATAGTGCTAATTTTACTTTGTGTTCATTTTTAGTAGGAAAAAAATACTTTAATACTAATATTAACCAGTTTTTGGTACCATTTTGGTTGTTTACTTTTGCAGACAGGATTTAGTGGGGTCTTCTCCTACTCCGCTCCTGTTTCAGAGTCAGAGTCAGAGTTTCTTTATTGTCATTCGCACCTCATGTGGTACATGTGGTGGAGCGAAATTATGTACACGGGGTCCCAGTTACATCCAACAATAAAATGTCTAAGAAAAACAGTAATAACATCTAAGATATGAACTAAGAAAAACATCAACTAAATATACACCAAGCACTCAACATAAAACATTGAACATCAGCACAAACATGAACATGAGTCTGTGAGCAGATGTGCACGCATGAACACATCAACATTGAAACAGATCAGCAGCAACATGAAACAGATCAGCAGCAACATGATATGGTTTCCTGGAATATCTTGTAAAGACCTGAAGCTCTCGACCTTTGACCTCTCTAAGTGGCTTCAAACATTTGCTAAGTTCATGGCAAAAACCAACGCAGACATGTTCCCGTTTTTACTTTTATACATCACTTTATAATGTAGCTTATTATTGTTATTATTATTTTAAACATAATTTTCTTCCATTTATTTGTTTTCTTTCAATTTATAAACCTTCTTTTATGATTGTCTACTAGGGGTGTAATGGTATGCTTAAAAAAAATAAAATCACATTTAGGTTTGGTTCATTTTCTGTACAAAAAAAGACCAAAATAAAGACTTACAAAACATTTATTTTGAAAATATGCCAAGTAAACAATATGTGTTTGTATAAAAATAAATAAAAGCGACCCATTTGGATGATATTTTAAATAAAACAGCACTCTTTACAATAAATAAACTATACTAACAAAAATAAAAATAAATACAATAAGTCAGAACCAGAACAATAAGCAGCAACAGACTGTTTACAATCTGTTATTAAGGTTAATAAGGTCTATTATTGTCATCATTCTTTGTTAAACAGGTCTCTCTTGTAAACGAGTCCTCGAGGCTCAATGAGACTAACCTGTATAAATAAAGGTTGAACTGAATAGCAGCTGGGTGAGAGTGTGAAAAGCACATGAAGAATTGCACCAAGTGACTATGACACAAAAAACTGCTTTGTGAGCATGAAGACAAAAACTGAAATTAAATCCGTTACTTACAACACAGACCTAAATAAACCAACATTTAAAGTTTGTTTTCAGCTCTTAGTCTTTGAAGTTGACAAAGGTAATAAATAAAATGTGACATTTGACTTTCTGTTCAGTGCCCTGAGAAGACTTCTGTTGTGACTTGGTACTATATAAATAAACTGAATTGAATTTTCAGTGAAAATGTATTCAAAGAGGGTGGCACAGCTCTTACTGCCACAAAAACATGAAGCAAGTGTGCGATCTTACGACATGTAGCCATGGTGAAACAGGCGTGCTGCTTGATGTCAACATCTAAACTTGCAACAAGTGAAGAGATTGGAAAGACGTCTTGCAACCCTCGTGCAAAACATAGATTACATGAACTAAACAAGGTTTCAAGTATTAAACTCACTGGAGCTTTTCTTATCAAAAACTCATTTGTGTTATTGATAGAGCCGTCTGAAGTTAAGCTGTACACATCAGTACTGATGCAACAAATATTGATCTGAACAAGAGTATACCTTTTGCACTTTTGTAGTGTTGAACTTTAGGTGGCAAATTGTCAAAAAAAAAAAAAGAATATTTCCCCGTTGAAAGGTCAATCTAACAAAACAAAACCAAAAAGAAAAGAAAAGAAAAATGGTGTTTCAAACATTAAACTGCAAAAAAAAAAAAAATTGCTCATTCTTGTTTAAATTTCACAAAAGTTAAATTATTTGGACAACGGATGACAAAATTAGGAAACACGTTTTATTTCCTCTATTTAAAATAAGTGGATGTGTTTTATACAGTTGATTGAACAACATTTTCACCTGGGAATTTAAAAAGGGGAGTTTGCTTTTATTTTTTTTTTTTTAATTGTTGTGGACAAAACAAGACAACTTAAAACCAGTTGCAGCCCTCGTTCCTCCATTTTGTTAAAAACCCCAAATGATTTAAATTAGGAAACTTCTAAACCCAATGACAAGTGAATGTAATGTTTGATTTTACAGAACAGCCCATTGTTTTTCTTTGAGCTGCCAAGTTTTAAGATTGCACAAAACTGAGTCTTGGTGCACCGATTGCAGTTTTCTGTCTGATCACCGATTTCTAAAAAGTCTGACCTGCCGATGCAGATTTTGTTTTATAAGCGACACTGTCGGGCGTTATCAAGTCACAATGCACCTTCAATATTCCTGTATTATTGTATTGAAAATTATACCCTTGAACAATATCTTAGAAACAATACAAACTTGTTTTAACTGGTCATGAGGTAGTACTCTGCAATATAAATAAAGTTCAGACAATTGTTGTTAAAACTATAAAAAAAATAAAATAATAAAATAAAATAAAATAAAAAAAGAGGTAAAATCGGTTTCTCATGCAAGTATCGGCCGATTTCCGACTGGCTGATTTATCGGTGCACCCCTAGTTAAAGGCTCTACTAAAGGGTCTCAGAGGAAATTTAGGCCCCATTTACACAGACACGATGGGGGGAAACGTATGTTTAGTATGTTAATTAGAGGAAAAGATCTGCGTTGACAGTCGGATTTTGGGTTTACATGCATCCGGAGGATTTCACCCCCCCGAATCCGCTGTATTTACCATGCCAGGTCATTAGATGGCGCTGTGAATTTTGTACCTTCACCTAATGTGCATGCGTGCTGCCTCGACACGTTGTTTTCCTCTGGGCTAAAAGCTCAGCTAACAACAACAAGTTAAAGCTGGATTTTGGATGAGAGTCGACAGATTTGACGCCAAGCGGGACCACTAACTTCATCTAACAGCTCCACACCGGTCGCTGAGTGGACCAGAACAGAGTCGACGATGTTGGACTTTACTCCGTGATAATCAGTAGCTGTTTTACAGCAGGTAAATCAACGTTAATAATGTTTGCTTGTGTTTACTTTGGTTACAAAACAACCAACAGAGTTTTTATTTTTCCTGAAAGAAGAAGAAGCCATCCTTCCACCAGGTGGACCGGTTCTGAACGAGGCTCGGCCCGGATGAACTGCAGGAGGACGTCGAAGAGAGAGATGTTGGATGATATTTTAAATTCCCCTCAGTTCTTTTATTCAATCCATTGAATGTTTTAAGTTGCATTAATCAAAGGAGTGACAGCCTGAACGAGCCAGATGAACAACGTGGGACATCCAGGATGAAAACAAGAGTCCAGTTCATTAATGCAGTTAACTTGTTTTTAATAGTGTGTTCAGTTTAATTATCAGTGTTTGTGTGACATACAATTTGTGGTTTTAAATAAATAAATTAAATAAAAATTAAACAAAAATTAAACCTGATGTCTTCATTTTCAACTTTAGTAGCACACAATATGTTTAGCATCATTTTAATCACATAATTTGAATTACGTAATGTCCAGATAGCTTCATTATATATCGCAAACTTAAGATAAATATTGTTTATTATTATTAAACTTGTTATTTAGCACATTTAGTATGTTATAGTGCAGCGCGACGTGTGCCTCGTTCTATAAACAATGACATTAGAACTGGATCAGACTGTTGTCTCTTCCAACACAAATGTCAGTCACAGCACCTGGAATCTGACGTAGATTAACTACGAGATTAATATATATTCCATCAGTCGTAGTTCAGAAAGCAGTGTGTCCACCGCCATGTTGATAGAAATATAGCGTCTGTCCACGTGTGCGCATGTGGTTTAACACAAAGCCTCAGTGGGAGATGTTAACATTATCAGCGGGGGTCAGCGAAAAACCTCCACTCTGGAAGGTGGGTTCAGAAACCTCCACTCTGGAAGGTGGGTTCAGAAACCTCTACTCTGGAAGGTGGGTTCAGAAACCTCCGGATTCAAAGGGGGGGGGGCACGGGTGTCGTGTAAATGATCAGCAGAATCGCAGAGAGAAAGCTGCGGATTCACTCAAAATACGTGCCGTGTAAACGGCCCCTTAATGAAAGACAAACAGGGACAGTAAAAGGAGTTCATGCATGAACTCCACTCCTGCTGTGTCTCCATTATTCTGCTGTCCAGAGACAAAACCTGGTTCTGTCAAGTCATCCTGACTCTGCAGGCTGGACCCAGGGAACTAGCTGGTTTGCATCACAGACTGAGGGAGCAGAGTTACTGCAAACTGTTGAGAAACACGACCTTTTCTCATCTCTGTGGCATGTTCAAAGGGAGAAACGAGGAAGAAGAATACAAAACAACAAAAAAACACTGCCTCCTGTTGCACGTCAATATTAGCTGCACACGAAGCTAACATTTTTGACAGGGCATAGTTGACATTTCCTCAACCTACACTTTAATTGCAACATGAATCTCAGTCTTACCATTTGTCAAGTGTCAAACCACCATAAAATACCCAGCTACTGTACTTTTAATGGAATATAAACAGTTAGCTGCAGCAACTCATTGAAACAGTTAGATTAAGGCTACTGATAACAATTATCAGATTAACAGGAAACCTCAGAGATTTACTAGTAAAGTGGTGGAAAGCAATATGTGATTGTGAAGCTAAAACTAACGTAAATCGGTAATGCTAACTACAGATAGCCTCCATGTTCACACCCACTGTGCGTGACAAGGACCTGTCGGTCAGTCACATTCAAACCGGTCGGTCAGTTAGCATGCGATGCTAACGGGCTAACGCTAGCATCTGGACGTGATTATTTATTACCGTTGAAGTCTCCCGTGTCTGCCACCACCACGGTGAACTTCTTCAGCTGGGTTAGCGCCGACTCCATCTTCCTGCGTTTGTCTGGTGACCCACTAGACATGGTGAGCGCAGAGTGAGACCCTTTTATAGACAGAAAGCACGTGAGAGCTGGCAGAATGTCCGAGAGGCGGGAGCGCGCACGACAGGAAGAAGAAACATGTAGGAACCGGGAGCGCGCAGATTACAGTTGGAGGAAGTGAGTGTAGAGGAAAACAAAAGAGGAAATTAATAAATAATAATAACAACAAATAACAAGACAGTTTTGTACACGTGTTCTGAACTTGAACTCTGAAACTAATTATGCATTTTTACTATTTAACGTAAATACCTTAAACATAATTATTACTGTAATATGTTATTATACTTCATGCTGCATTTAAATACTACCTATTGCATAGCATTTATTATGGTAGGTAAGTGATTATTTCTCCCATCACTACTGAAGATGTCCTCTAAGTGGAGACAGGAGACTTATAAACTTTGGAACACATGTGTCTCTTGTGATTTACAAGTGAGAGGCACATTAGAGGACGGTGCAGGATTCATTCAACCTTTATTTATACAGGTTTGTTCCCAATGAGCCTCGAAGACTCATTTACAAGAGAGACCTGTTACAGACAGACATACAAAGTAGATAAGGAAAAGAGAACATGAAAGGGTGGAGGAGGTAAAAAAAAAAATCATATCTCACACCATGTCCTGGTCGGGACACAGTGTGAAAGTTGAAGAAAAAAAGGCCTCGTAATATAAACAGCAACATACATACATGTACATCCATTATCTTTTATCTGCTTCTTCCTTTATCAGATCACGGGACAATTTAGAGTTATCAATCAGCCTAACATGCATGTTTTTGGTCTGTGGGAGGAAACCGGAGTACCCGGAGAAAACCCATGCATGCACGGAGAGAACATGCAAACTCCACCCAGAAAGGCCCCCGGATGTAACCTGTGTTGGGAATAAAATAATGTTAGAGTTTATGGAAAATAATACTATGAGTTGGTTCATGTAAGGTTTAATCATGAATTGGGAGAATAAAAATAATGTTTAATTATAAATTGTGGGAAATTATACTATGAGTTGATTGGTACAATGTTAAAGAATGAATTGTGGGAATAAAATAAGGTTTGATTATAAAAGGTGAACATACCAGGACGTGGTTTGGTTGGTATAATGTATAAGTATGATTTGGGGGAAATAGAAAATATCTTAGCGGCAAAATAACTGGATCACACTATGACAGCTCAAGGAATGTGTCGAGAACGAATTAGATAAAATGGGAAGTGGGAGGTATCATGAAAGTGTGTGGAGACAGGATTCAGGGAAACTCACAAGGACATTTAGTCATGATGCTACTTGACCATCAAAGCAACTGCAATCTGACTGAAGGTACAGTTCAATACTTCATGAGCTGCAGTCACATTAACACCTGACTGAAACCAATTTTTAAAGAAATCTAATGCTTGTCCTTTGAGCCATGCAATTGCCTTGATTTGTTTCGACTCTCTCATTTCTTCCTAAAAGGCCATATTATACATTTTTTGAGGAACATTAACTTTTGTTTGTCCAGTGTGTCAGTCAGATCCAAAACAAGCAAACGTGAGAACACAGGCGCTCATCGGCAGAGATTCAAGAACTAAAGCAGTTATTTACATCGTCTTGAAAACGAAGCAACAAATTCTCTTTACTTAAGCTCGCAAGACTTATCAGAAAAAAGGCTTGTGCTCCTAAAACATTTTTCTTTTGTTTTTCTGCAGCACCAGAACTGTATCGGACCTTGTCAGTTCTTTTCCCAATAAAATGGCTTTTTCAAACAAAGCCAAGGGTCATTTGCAAAACCTCTCTTAAATTTGTCAAACGACAGGCGGAGACCACTTCTTTTATTTAAATTGCATAAACAGTGTAATAACATTTGTATAGAAAACAGTACAGTTTATGTGCAATAATGACCAATTGTATGTTATTATACAAATACTATTCATTCACAAATACTGCAAAGAGCTACAGCTTAACTAGTACGTTTGAGTTTCAATGGTCAAGCCACTTTAAAAATTAGTTAACATGGAAAAATGGCCAGTGTATTGCAATAACATTTAAATTTATTTCTTAACTAATAAACATTAGCCACAACGAGAAAGAAATTAGACAAAAAAATAACAACTCCTTTGCAATTACAGGGTGTACTGTTGCAGATAATGTGGTTTTAATTGCTTGATTATGTCCTCAACTGTTCTGAGACAGAAAGATTTCTAACCCTTCAGCGACAGCTTCCCTACTATCAGTCTTACTAGTAACAACATGAAAACGGTTTAGTTTCAGAAACCATTACAGTCGTCACCATCGCCTCTCTTGCCTTTCAGCAGGTGTTCCAAAGCAACACAGGAACTCGTCAATCCGCAGAGTTACGCAGCTCAGATTGTGTCATACACTCACAGCTTTGTGACAGCGCTGTGCAAAGATATTAATGTTCAACAATATCTATTATTTTGTTTGGTGGTTAATTAATGAAACACTGATGAGTGCCAAAGTTTAGAGATCAAGCCTTAAGCAAATATTAGAATAAAGGCCATGATAATTACCGTCTAATCTTCTATCTGAAAAGAAGAGGCCTGTATTTAATTACAGTGCCAGACAAGAAGCATGTCAGCCCTTTGTGTTCATTTTTAACTTAATTTCCAGGTATGATGGGATTCCTAGGTTTGCTTGTCATAATCACTTTCCCCACAGCTGCCAATGATCCAGTCAAGCCACCCTTCCACACCTGCACCTGATCCTGTTGACTACTCTGCACAAGGACTGCAGTCGTTCATCCGACGCTGGAACATCAAGACTCCTCATGTCTCGCTCCTCCGTGTCCTGCCAAGTCCTCTCTGCTTCCTGTGACCTCAACTTCAAGGTTCTTTATGGTCATTCGCATCACATGTGGTACATGAGGCAGAACAAAATTGTGTACTCAAGGTCCCAGTTATACGCAAAAATAGTAAAAAATATCAAGTATAAAAATAAACAGTATACAAGGATCTAAGATATACGCTAAATAATAATAATAATGTAAAATAATGTGGTGTATAAAACAGCAGTCTGAAGATGAGTCTGTAGTGAGTAGACGGGTATGAATGAATACAGCAGCATGAGATCAGCAGCATGAGATCAGCAGCATGGATAATCAGCAGCACAGATAAGTCACATATCACCACTTAAAGTGGCATTACAGTGATTTTATTTTTTTCTTACAGTGATTATCCTGGTTAGGGCTTCAGGGTAGAAGCTGTTCCTCAGTCTAGTGGTTCTACACTTAATGCTCCTCAACATCCTGCCTGAGGAGTGCAGGGCAAAAAGTGTGTGTGCTGGGTGAGTGGGGTCCTTCATGAGGCAGGTGGTCCTCTTCCTGCATCTGGAGGTGTAGATGTCTGTGATGGTGGGGAGGCTGACTCCAACAGGCTGTGCAGCCTTCACCACTCTCTGCAAAGCTTTTCTTTCTGCAGCTGTGCAGCCTCCATGCCACACATTGATGCTGGAGCACAGGATGCTCTCCACTGCACACCTGTAGAAGGAGGTGAGGACTGAGCTTCCCAGACCAGCTCGTCTCAGTCTCCTGAGGAAGTAGAGTCTCTGATGAGCTTTCTTGATCAGGCTGGTGGTGTTGCCTCAGCTGAGGTTGTTATTCAGGTACACACCCAAGTGCTTGTTAATGGAGACCATTTCCACCGCAGATCCTCCTATGTTGTGGAGGGGTGGGGTGGGGTATTCGTTCCTTCTGAAGTCCACGACCATGTCCTTCATCTTCTTCACATTGATGTGAAGGTTATTCTCCTTGCACCAGCTCTCCAGGTGTTCCACCTCCTGCCTGTAACTGGACTCATTGTTGTTTGTGATGCATCCAACAACTTCTGTATCGTCTGCAAACTTTACAATATGACAGCCTGGATGGGTTGGAGCACTGTCATATGCAAGCAGAGTAACCTCGCCACTCATCATCTCTGCTCCTGCAAACTATCAGCCTGGATCAACTTCATACCACCATCGCCCTGTCACTCTCTGCTACGCTACTTACCTCTTAGATCAAACAAGCCACCACTCCTCTGAACCACTGGATCTCCTCTCTCACCTCCTGCAAACTAACAAACTACACATTTTCCATCCTCACTTGTAAATAAAGACACTTACCTTTTCTACATTGTGAGTCCTTGTCATCAGTCTGCCATCTTTAGGTCTTTACAACCAGTCCTCATGTTAAGAGTTTTGAAGTGTGTGTTGTTACTTGCTGTGTCAACTGATGTTTAACTTTGAGCCCATATGATGGTTTTACTAATGTGGGTCTCCACTTGTTCAATGGACCATTAGGTTGGAAAAAAAATGGTGCATGCTTTTGTGATGTGTTGCAGGAACAACCAAATCTTCTTGGATATGATTTAAAGAAAGAATTTAACTGTGGACCTTCACAGAAGCAGGAACAAGCCAAACACTATTTTTCATTCTGGGTGGAAAGATGGAGGTCATAGAGAGAAACAGACTAGATGCAACATTTGCTTTAACTTTCTGTGCTGAGACAGGGCACTTCTTTGGGATAAAATATACAATCCTATCTGCCTCTTTAGCTGTTCTTGATGCATTTTTTGTTTATTTTTCAGTTTATCAATGAATCACAAGGAAGTAGCTCAGTGTATGTGCCACTGTCCTATAATTCTGTTGCTGCAGGTTTGAGCCCAGGTTGAGTCAGGAAATGTTTCCAGCTTAAAACAATTGCCAAAGTTTTCAATCAGGTTTGTTCACAGTGGCAATTCCTGAAGAAGGAAGCAGACAATTAATTAAATATTTAAAATCAATTAATCACAATTGTTTTTCAATGGGATTTAAAAAAAATCTAACTCAATTGATGAAGTGTCTGTCAATCATTGAGACTGACAGACAGACTGGTGCAGCATCTGCAGTATTGTAGATTCTGTGCCGGTCCTTCGTGGTGAAGAGGGAGCTGAGCTGTAAGGCACAGATCTCTGTTTATCCGACGGTCTATGTTCCTACCCTCACCTATGGCCAAGAACTCTGGGTAGTGGCTGAAAGAACTAAATCATGGATACAGGAGGTTGAAATGAGTTTCTGCCGCAGGGTAGCTGGACTCTCCCTTAGAGATAGGGTGAGAAGTTCAG